ATTGGGCCCTGAAGAACCGAATTTGAGGGCGAGAAGGTCAAGAAAGCCTGACAGAGTTGGTGTTTGTGACAGAGGGTTCAAGAAAGAGGCAAGAAGAGCCTTGCATCGATGTGTATATATATATATATATAACATAATAAAGGGCATAAATCTTACCTTCTTTAAATGCAGATCAATAGAAAAACATTGGGAGGGCCAGAACTGAACGATCGGCTGCATAAAAATTGCAAGACAACATTCAAAATGCAGTTCTAAGAAGCAGAACAGATGTAGCATGCGTGCAAGTTTAACAGATTCAGATAAGTACTGGGTGCCAGTGTGCTTACAGTGGACTACAGCGTGTGATACGTCAGCATGTTTGGGTGGTTCAGTACAGTGTGTGATTGTATTAGTGTTGGCCATCTATCAATTGCTAATCTTTTAGTCATTGTTCATGGTTGGTTTAGTGTATTTTTACTGGGCTGTGGCTCACCCTATATGGGAATATCATTTTCAGGTGCAGGAAGCATGCCACCTCCAAGGACATAGCTGGGAGGCTAGAGGCGGACATACTTTTGTCGCTTAACTTTTGATGTATTACATGTAACTTCAAGCCAAGGGCTTAATGTGTGAACGAGTTAGTACCCTTTTGTTGTAACCAAGTGTTAACTTGGAAAGCTGTAAGCCCGTAGGGCATTTTGTTTTGATGTTAACATGTAATACTTATGTAATGGAACTCTAATATATAAAAGAATATGGTTAGTTTATATATAAATGCATGTCTTATCTGATGGGTTTAATGTTATTATTTTGAGGGCGTTACACTGTCTCTTTTAGAATAATGTTAGAGACATTTTATTGTTTTAGTCTTTTTTTGGTTCATATGTAAGGTGTGTGGTTAGATTTGTGTGAGAAGTATGATCTCAATCATCTTTCATAAAACTGGAATTAGAAAATGACCAAATGAAATATATTTACAATTAACTTTCCAATCAATTTTAGAGGATTTGGATTCACTTTTTCCTAATTAATGCAGAGGCATGTCATCCTCTAGTAACTATTCTTCTAATGCTGAGACCTTGGACTTGAGATATAAGGCTTTGAAATGTGATTGTGGTCTAAGAGCTACCATAAGGGTTACCGAGTCTGACAAGCCATCTAAAAGGAGATTGTATTTCATTTGTGAGAAGAGAAATTGTCAATTTTGGAGGTGGTGTACCCCAAAATCTGTGATGATGGTAGAGAGGTAGAGGAATGAGAGAATGCTTTATCAAAATCAAAATATCGAGACTGTAGGACTACAAGTCAAGAACCAAATGCTTGAGCAATCCTTAACATTCATGAAGCAGCTTGTTGTGGGTCTGCTCACGATTTGTATTGTTATGTCAGTTGCATTACTCTTCAAATGATGACAGGTGTCGTTTAGAGATACCTGGTGTTTTTGTGCTATGTAGTTTACCATGAACTGTTGTACTAAGCTTTGTACCCAATTAATGTTGATATGTCTATCGTAGTTGCCA